ATCCCTGTTCATCTTGTGTAGTCAAAATGTAAAACCATAAAACTTCTGTGATTCTTCAGTTGAAAAATTAGCTGTAGAATTAACAGCCTGTCACAGAATCTTCTGTGGACTGTGGAAATAAGGGTGGGAACTTTACTGGATTCTACATAAAATGGAGCTGGTGTTTTATAGCAGATTGTTATATTCTCATTCCAGCATCCATTTAGTCTGATACCTAAATTATGAATTATATTGAATGTCAACCAATCAGGAACTGTCCTGCCAGCATTCAGACTGATTGAAATAGAAGCCTATGAGCATTTGGGGAGGAAATTGAGAGGGGAATGATTTTTAAAGGACTTTTATTCTCCAGTGAGAGCAGCACAGGGCCCTTGCAGATAAGTTTGAATTAAGGTTAGTAGGAATTGCTGGCAAGTGGTGAAAATAGGAAGTAAGAGAATGTATAAGGCTGTAAAAAAGAAAAGAGTTTGAGATAATAGATTTTATTCTACTAATTTTTCTGGAGTAACAGCAGCTACTCATCAAGAAGTATCAACTTGTAATAAATTTTCATATGTTTTCTTTTACATGGCTATTGATTTTATTACAATTATTCTTTTACAGCTGGGCTATTGTTAGCTGTAAATTCTATTTTAATCTCTGGGGGAAAGCGGTGGATGTGATATAACTTGACTTTAGCAAAGCTTTTGATACAGTCTCCCACAGTACTCTTGCCAGGAAGTTAAAGAAGTATGGATTGCATGAATGGACTATAAGGTGGATAGAAAGCTGGCTAGATTGTTGGGCTCAACGGGTAGTGATCAACGGCTCGATATCTAGTTTGCAGCCGGTATCAAGCAGAGTGCCCCAGAGGTCGGTCCTGGGGCCAGTTTTGTTCAACATCTTTATTAATGATCTAGATAAGGGGATGAATTGCACCCTCAGCAAGTTCACAGATGACACTAAATTGGGGGGAGAGGTAGATATGCTGGAGAGTAGGGATACTGTCCAGTGTGATCACTTCTGTTGGCAATGCTCCTACTAATACAACCCAATATGCTGTTTGCCTTCTTGGCAACAAGGACACATTACTGACTCATATCCAGCTTCTCGTTCACTGTAATCCCCAGGTCCTTTTCTGCAAAACTGCTGCTTAGCCAGTCGGTCCCCAGCCGGTAGCAGTGCATGGGATTCTTCCTTCCTAAGTGCAGGACTCTGCACTTGTCCTTGTTGAACCTCATCAGATTTCTTTTGGACAGATTGGAGGATTGAGATTGAGTCCTCCATCCTTAGAGGTTTTTAAGGTCCGGCTTGACAAAGCCCTGACTGAGATGATTTAGTTGGTGTTGGTCCTGCTTTGAGCAGGGGAGTGGACTAGATGAGCTCCTGAGGTCTCTTCCAACCCTAATATTCTATGATTCTGACTGTTTTGCTGACTAGCAGCAAGAGAAGTGCTCAAAGTGAACCTGACTTGGGCCTCTCTGATCCTGAGGTGGATAAAAACATTTGGAAGCATCTGCATTAAATTCTAAATATGTCACTTGTAGACATTGAGTAGGTTATCACATTTTAATTAGATACATTATTGTAGTGTACTCAGAAAAGTAATGAAATATATTTAGATATGCTTCTCCAGTAGTCCCAACAATTCCCATTCATAATTGTTTATTTGTGGGATGATGGGATTTTGCCATACACTTATAACCAATGTTTGCTATACAGTTTAAATAATGAGTGTTGAAAAAAATTCTCATTGAAACCAAACACCATTATGACTCTCAAATACTATGGTAATAAACACCATAAAATAGATTAATCACCAAAGTAAAATACTTAGAGACTCTGTTAAAGCTATTAATTTGAAGCTTACTAATGACAATTGTATGTTAAAATAGAGTGGGTAGCTTTGTTTTGATTTGCATATCATTCTATCTGCAGGTCAAACTAGCTATTCTGCTTGTAACATACAAGAATCAGTGCACTCTCAAATGCTTCAAGAACAGTGCCAGTGAGTGTTTGATATGCTCTTGTGGCACTTCCACTATGAGTAAACTTCACAAAGAAAATTTCAGCACTTCAGCTTGATGGTAGGTTGCTCAGAAGAGAAACTGGCACTTTCACACAGTTGCAGCCTACCTCATTAATTTGAAGGAACAATATATTTTTTTTCTGTTTGGGAGGGGGGGTCTGGGGCATATTTAAAACTAATATATTTAGGAAGTAGGAAATTACATTTTCATCCTTTCAGTTTAAACAACATCTTGTCTTTTTAAGGACTAACTCCATGTGCACTGAAAACCAAGGAGAAGCTGAGATTTGGAGCTACCTCCAGTTGCTCCAACACTCTAAACAGAATCCTCTACACTGGCCACAAAAGCATTTCATTAAGCTGGGAGCATATGGGATCAGGCCCCAAGACTCTAATTTGTTTACTTTTACAGCTCCTTGTATTGGTAAAGACCTGTATGTAGAAACTGACTAGGTTTAGTAAATTTCCCTCTGAATCCACAGAGGACTTAAGCAGTCAGTTTTACCTAAAACAAGCCTGTAAATTACAAGGACAGTGTTAGTTCACTTTAGGCCCCAAATGTAGGTTTTGTAAAAAAAATAAGCTTTTAAATAAATTTTCATTTGCTTAAATTTCAAAAAATTAGAAATAAACATTACTCTGTAGTGTTTGCAACTTAAAAGGTGCAAACTTGTGCTAGTGTTTGAAAATCTGCAACTTGAAAATTTTTAAATATTTATAATGTTAACAATGTTTACATCACATAACACAGTAGTGAAGAATACAAATTGTATTTGGAAAGCAAATCCATTGAATGGTTCTACATTGCTGAAATTATTATGTGTAATCAACAAGTATTATTTGTCAAGCATCTGTGGTATGCTCAATGTTATGGTAAACACAAATAACATCAGTCCTTGCTGCAAGAACCTCATAGTTTAAAAGTCAGGCTCCTATAAGACAAAATTTATTAGGGGACCCAAAGAAAATTAAAACATTACACTGTTTTTCTTTCTCTGTTCTTCTCTTACATAATGGTGATGTAAAGAGGATATTTGGCTGATGCTGATTAGCATAGAGACGAGTGACAAGAGTGGGCTTGTGAAAGAAATTACAACCAAATTTTAAAAAGTATTTAGGCATCAAACTCCCATTGAAATCAATAGAAGTCAGGTGCCTAAAAGTCCCCTGTGAGCCTAAGTTTCTGCTGGTCAGCATTCACAAAGCTGCCTGAAGTCCCGATGCCACCATCCCCAGCTACCAAGCAGCTCAGTGTTCTAGTTCAAGCTGAAACTTTGGAGGCCCTGAAGCAGGATTCTCAAACTAGGCAGTGGAATGCCTATCTTGTCAACAGGGCACAATCCTGTAGGTGTTCTCTGAGCATGCCTAAAACTGGTCAGATCCTGAAGCAAGCAGCCTGGATACAGGCCACAAACGTAGCACACCACCCACCCATCCACCCAATCAACAGCCAAAAGCTCAGGAAGTGTAGTGCAAGTGTAAGAGGTATCTCAACTATGAGAACAAGACAGATTCGGCTACAAGAGCATAGGCTACTTAAGCGGCAGACCTGTCTTAGGAGAAGGTTTATAGATGAAGATTCCAAGCAGAGGGAGGTGCCAACCTCTGGCCTGTGCATCAGGCCAGCTGTTTAACCACCCTAAGTCCCTCTCCCTGGCATTTTACTGCTGGCTAGTTTAGGCAACTCCCTAGTCAACGTGCTACCTTCTGAAGATCCCTTTCTTATGTGACCAACTCTCCCCACACATTGTATGGGGAGCCTAGGCTGCTAGTCCAGGGCTGAGGATTTCACTTGGTGTCAGGTGGCGCAACACCTAAATACCACTGAGGATGTGGGCTGAGATTATTGTGATGAATTGGGGAAAGCCATGAGGATTTGGTTTAGATTATATAGGGCCCCTGCTGAAGATATTTGTTAGCAACGTTTTTAATTTGGGGATCTTGCTAGATTCCTAGCTGCTTTTAGATGATAGCAGCAGCAATACCTCTGGCTCCTATTAGAAAGTCCAACCTTTCCTCTGTGACCTGCCTACTATAATCCTTGGAACTAATCTTGTTATACAATAGCTCGGTGGTATACTGGAAGGATTCCTGCACTGGTGTGTGAATAGTCACAGACTGAAATCCCTGGCAGGTCTCTTGAATAAGTAATCAACATTCTTTGGCCTTTAAGCTTTTAATCATTAGGATACTTTACTGAGAAATGTGGTGCATTCTCTATCAGTTGACATCTTTAAATCATGACTGGATGTCTCTCTAAACAATATGCTATCATCAGAAATTATGGCTTGATGCAGATATTTCTATGAAATATCTGAAATTCTAAATCCTGTTAAATGTAAAACAGACTAGATGATCATAATGGTCCCTCCCAGCCTTGACAATCTATAGTTTTGCCAGGGTTAAAATGGATTATTGCAATGTCCTCCATATTGGACCATAACTTAAATCCATCCATGAAATGAATATGGTGCAGAGTCTGGCAATCTGCTTCTATAGCTGGTTAAGCCACATTACAATCCCCTGAATAGGTACCTGCACCTTTCACCTGTTGGTTTACCAAGTTAAGGTGTTGATTTTGCTGTATGAACCCTAGTGGCCTTAGTCCTGCCTTTGCCAGCGATGGCCTCACATCCCATGGGGACTGGTGGCTGCTAGTAGGGGCACTAGGCTTTGAAGCCTGCCCCGCATCTCGCTACCCAGAGATGGCCGTACAGTTTCCCTCCTGGTCTGTGTGTCCTGTGGGAAGGAGGTCAGAGCTCGGGGGAGACTGAGAGCAATGCCCAGGTGCGAGGGGGCGGAGCTGGGGGTACTCAGGGCCGGGGGGGGGCTGTACAGCTGTATAGTGACCAGGGCCCCGAGACCCCCCTAACAATAGCGGGCGGCGCCTGGCGGGCACGGCAGGAAGGTGTCGGCCGAGAGCCGAGCCGGGCCGGGGGGCGGGAGCTGGGCGCGGCCCCTCCCCGAGCGCTGCTGCGGCCGCTGGCCGCTCCCCGCCGGTGTGGCTTGCTCCTCACCATGGTTGCAGCAGCACAAAGCCGCCAGCGCAGGAGGCCGCTCCCCCCCTGAGAGCCCGGCCCCGCCCGCGCCGAGCCAGCCACCTCCCCGCGCCCAGCCGGGAGCGCAGCCCCGCAGCCCCCGGCAGCCCGGATGGGAGGCGCCGGCGGGGATGCAGCAGCCGCGGAGCGGGACGGCGGAGCCCAGTAGAGCAGGAGCCGGGAGCCGCCGCCAGGCGCCAGGACCGCGGGAGCCCCCTGGCCGCTCTCCCCGCTGCCGGCCGGGCTTGTCCGGGCGGCGGCGCTGCTGAGTCCCGGCGTTTCACCCCAGCGGCCGCGAGCCCGGAGCCGGGCCGGAGCAGCGAGAGGCCGCGCCCGCCGCGCCCGCCGCGCAGCGACAGGAGCCGGGACCCCGACGGGACCGAGCCCCGCTCCCCCGCCGCGCGCCTTCGGGACCGGGGCTCGGCGCAGTTTCCGACCCCACTCCGCACCCAGCAGGAGCCGCGGCCGGAGCCCAGGCAGGAGGCGGCGGGGCCGGGGCGCTGCAGCCCGGGGCAGAGAAGGGGCGAGATGGCGTCGTACGTGGATAACAGCTTCCGCCAGGCGGTGATGAAGAACCCGGCGGAGAGGAGCCCCCAGGTACCCCTTTGCTCCTCCTTCCCTTGTTCCTCCCTCCCAGCGGCCCGGAGAGGAGCCCCCGGTACTCCCTGTCCGCCCCTGCTCCCGCTCTCCCGCGTACTGCCCCAGAGGGGAGCCCCCCGCGCCCGGGACCTACCCCGTACAGTACCCTCCCAGGTATCTACTCACCGCTGCCCTGGAGAAGAGCCCCTACATCCTTTGTTTATTTTCTCCCCTTTCAAGAGGAGCCTAATCTCGGGTGCCTACCCCCATTTTTCCCCCCTGTCCAAGAGCCCCAAGGTACAGGCAGGCACGACTTGATCTATGCCCCCTGGGTACTGCACATAGGGGCAACAGGTAACTATTTCCCTATACGTGCTTCCAGGTACCAGAGTGCAGTTTTCCGTATTCACCCTCCACTCACCCCGACCAGAGCCCCCAGATAACGAGTCCTCCGTTCACCAACATTTCCTATAGCTACTTCTTGTTTATCTCTTGTTTGTCTCACACACATACCACAAACATCTCATCTGTTTCCAGTACTCCTTTCTCTATCTGTAGCTAATCTGTTTTCAGACATCTCTAATCCCCTTTCCCACTCACGGGCTAGAGGAACAATCCTATTCACAACCAGCTCTAGTTTTAGGATTTCTCTTCCTTTCCCTCCCCCCCGTAGTGTTATTACTTTTGGGGGGCTCACATCCCCTTAATCTGTCCTTCCATTCCTACCACCTCTATCTTTGCCTAAAATTGGGCAGAGAACTCATCTGTGTGGCCAGACAGCAGCAGAGGAGAAAGGGGGAGCACCTCTTTAGCAGTGAGTTTCATAAATCCTGAAAGCTGACTCTGTGGGAAACACTCAGATTTAGTAACTGCTGCTATGTTTTCCTCTCTTCCTTTTGAAAAGTGTTTTAAAAGAAAACACTATCGTGTTAATAGAAACTTTGAATACCATAGTGTGCATAGAAGTGCATATTCACTGTTATACAAACTTTACTCAGCCAAAATATTGATGTATAGGATTGCTAGCTCACGGACAGAGAAAAAATATTTTGAATACATTTTTTTTCATATTGCACAACTGAGTGGCCTTTTATATTGGCCATTGATTAACTGAGGTTATGTATCTGTTCCCAGTACAACACAAGTACAGTAGTTTAATTCTGGAATTGAATTAACTTTGTACATCTATAGCTCATTACAGCATTACTGACCCATACATTTATCAGAGAGGTGAGTGTGGTATTTTTGGCAAATCTCTGCCTCCCAAAAATAGGGTGAAATTCTTGCACAGTAGTATGGGAGAAAGATTTTTGAAATACTTGACTCAGGCTTTACTTGGGGGTGGGGTTGTGTATGTGTGGGATAAATAAAAATTGATGCAGTCATTTGCTCCTGCAGGATTGAAAGCACAGAGGGCTTTATAAACATTAGAGACAGAAGGGGAAGAAAATGTGTAAAAATGTTTTGACTGTTAGTTGTTGTTTTTTTTGAATCACATCAAGGTGAGTGAGTTCTTTCTGCTTTGGAGTGGTGACTGGATGCTATTGCTGCCAACCATCTAAACACAAATAAGCTTTATGCTGATCCCTATGTCAAGCTGTAGTTCAGTAGCTAATGATTCAAGGAGTTACTTTGCTCATTAGTTGCAGTGCCATCTGTCCTGTTTTCTAAAGATTTGTCCTGTTTCTCTCAGATCTCAGCGTGTCCTGATCTTAGTGAGGGGCTTTATTTTTAATTACCATGGTTACTTATGATTTTGCCAGATTTCTGATTGGCTGTTGACATTTTAAATTGGGGGCGAGGAAAGAACTTTGACTTTTTAGGCAGCATCCAGAATTCCTTCCTCCTACTTCAGATAAGTCATTGTGGATACACTATTTTTCATCCTGGTGTTTGTGACAAAGACAGATCACATATGGAAAAGTATGGCACATATGTATGTGTATCACAGTTAGAAAAGATGGTCCTGCTTTTACGAAAAAACATAAAGAAAATTATCTCATTCTAGAACAAATTCCTTTTATTATGTTGAAGCTAAAGTTGTGTCCCTGTGTCCTTGCCTGACCTTTCCAAATGTCTATTATAGTACTTGCCATAAATGTTGGCACCAGTATGAAACCCTCTAGGTATCAGTAGCACATAGTTATTGAAAAGTTAGATTTGGAGACAGAGTGCTGTTATTTCAGAAGGATACTATTTGTTAACGTAGCAAGATCCCTTGTTCTGGGAGAATCTTAAATTCCAGTAATGGGAGTCAGACAGGGATGTCAGAGATCTTGGGAGAAGATTATAAAAAGACTGTCAGTTGGTCAGCAGCAGGGATATTGGCAGTTGCTCAGAAATCGGTCAGTCAGGTAGTGGGCCTTCAAACCAGCCTGTGAGAGACAAAACTTCCACTGTGACAGTTGTATATCTGTGCCAAATAAAGTGAACTGTTAAACTTTCCTGTGTCCCTGCCAATCTGTTAAAAAAAAAAAAAAAAGAAATGACGCAGTGAAGACACTAGCATGAATGCAGGGGGTAGAGCCAATGTGAAGAACACAGTGTAGAAAGCTAAATCCAGAACACCAGGGTTGTATTAACACAGCAAAACTTCAAGTATCAGTACACCAAAAGCCTACTGTAGCAGTATACACAGAAAGAAACCCTAAATCCACTAGGCTCTGACTGGCCAAAATAGTCAACAAATAAGACCAGTTCTATGGGAAACATGCTGCATTGGCAGTGCTGGAAGTCTTTGAGGCTGGTGATCAGATGTGCTTATTATTGCTTCTGGGGAGAAGGCTTGAAAGAGGAAAATTCCTTTGTTTTTTAGAATGTTTAATGGAGGGAGGGGATAGCTCAGTGGTTTGAGCATTGGCCTGTTAAACCCAGGGCTGTGAGTTCAATCCTTGAGGGGGCCACTTAGGGATCTGGGGCAAAATCAGTACTTGGTCCTGCTAGTGAAGGCAGGGGGCTGGACTTGATGACCTTTCAAGGTCCCTTCCAGTTCTAGGAGATAGGATATCTCCATATATATTTTTTGAGATTTAGATGTTTAAACTCATTTTCTTTAACAGTAGTTGTGAGGCAAAGGCTTGTATTTTGAAAATATACATCTTCATTTTCATCTGTGTTTTTCTGAATTGAGTGGATTGAGGGGTTGGTTATTTATTTATTTATTTATTTTTAAATCATTTAAATTTCCTTTTTCTTTCTGAGAAGGAATTACTTCAGTTTAATCTTAGGGCAGACAGTGTGGCGGTGAGTAAGCTTCTTTCTTAAATACTTTGCAGTTAACAAGCAAAACTTTGAAAAGCAGTATTTTTATCAATCCATAAAGGCCTTGGTCTTTTGCTTTTTGTCTTCCCTAAATAATAAGCCAGATTTTCCCAGAAAGATAGTCATTTCATTTTGTTTTGAGGAATCTTCAGATATCCTTAAGTGGCATGATTCTGACTGTTACGAAAAAGGGTTGGGAGGAGAATGTATACTCTTATATTGACAGAAATGTGCATGTAAGAGAATGTGCATAGTCAAGGAAGCATCTGTTGGTCATGTTTCTTTGTTCTCTTCACTGCTTATTGAATATATTTGTGTTTTAACAAGCACTTTCTCTATATGTGACCAGCTTCTCATCCTTATTCTGTGACGTCTGTAATTCTGCATTTGACATTAGTGTTTTGCCCTCAATTGTGATGTAAATTTACTGTAATGACTTCATTGTGAGTTGAAATGAACAGAGGACTGACTGCAGGATAGCAAGCCCTTGTTTGAATACACAGCTTTGATAACTATTAAATATGATTAAATTATGAAGGGGAGGAATCAGTGAAATCTTGTTAGAACTTTTTCCCAGTGCAGAAGTCCTTTTCTAATTTGGACAGATTTTACAATGCTCCTCTCAGAGCATTGCTTCAGAGATTATTGCAGAAAAATCTTTCACTTAATATTGTGCGGGAGTGTCCTTGTTTACACAGTGGGTATTGAAAGCCTATCTGAACTATTCTAGTCAATGGAGCGTTGTATCCTAGTTCACAAAAAAGCTTAGAAAATAATAAAACCCAAAATGCATATGGCCAGTTGTTTTACATGTGCATTATTCATTGTGTGTATTGTATAACAGAACTCTTCTCTTATGTAATTGCTTTTTTCTTTGAAGGCTTAAATAGATAGTTTGGTCACCAAACAAGTTAGTTAAACCTCTAAATGTTAATGAATTACAAACAGATTTATGCCCCCAAGCTTTATGTAATGAAGTGATTTTTTTTTCAAAACTCTCTTTATATTTGTGGCTTCAAGCCTTTTGAAAACAATTTCTTAATGGTTTAATAGTTAAGTAAAAATAGTTGAGTGAAATATTATGCTGTCTGCAGCTTACTGTGAAGAATAAAAGTCCTCTTTAAAAAGAACTTGAAACCTAAACTATTTGCTTTTTACATGACCATTTCTATATGATACATGAACTGATGAGTAGAGTGGTCAGATGTAAATTTGTTAATTTTTGCATAATTGTACTTAAATCACCTACAGTAAGATTAGAGCTGTGGGAAGAACTTGATACAAATAGTTCCTAGACCCACTGACAAGTTGCTAAAGCACTCTTCTGGAATTTGTCAGTCTGGTACATTCAACAAATTCAGTACTAGAATAATTAGTAGCAGAGGAGTGGCATTTGCAATATGCTTTATGTTGAAAGGGGAGGGCTATCTGGTTACCCATAGCTCAATACCAGTGACATCTGTTAATGTCAGAGTACCTCAAGAGAGGATGCCTCTGTTTGGCAGATATTCCATTGCCAAGTATTTGAGAGAAACAATGGTTTAACTATAGGAGGTACCTATATTTGTTCCAATTAAATTTTCAGCTTGTTCTCCAGTAGCATTGTTTCTGGAATACAGCATTCTTTTATCTGGTAACTGATGAAAGAGTTTAATTGTGTGAGAACTCATTAATAGAGGACAGGCATGAACATTCACTTCTTGATCTAGCATTATGTTGCTGAATCATTCCAAATGAGTGTAAAGCTGTTTGTAGTG